GTCGAAAGGGGGAGGGGGCAGGATGGAGGGAGATGGAACAGGATTCAGGGGTGGGGCAGATGGGGAGTAAATGGGGAACGGATGTGCTGTGTGACTGTGAATTCCGCCCAGCTGTTCGTACCACGTTTTACCGTTAACTTTCCCACAGTGGGGCAGCAACAACTCGATTCCTAATCGGTGCCCAGCCTCAGCCCTTGGGGTTGTTCGCTGTCCCGGAGATATCGCACATGGTGGATCCGGGATGTGAGCAACGTGTCCGCGGGGGAGGATGCCAGCGAGCAGCTGTGACTTACTTGTAGGTGAGCCCATCAGAGGAGGCGAACAGTATCTGCGCGGTGAGACCGTCCTCGGGCACATAGCCGGTGCCGCCGCTGATGAGGTAATCGGCCATGCTGCAGAGACAGAGACAGACAGAGGGGAAGAGGCCGTAAGAAAGAGGGAGACAGAGAGTGAGTGAAACCCGCGGGCCCACACGGGGCGGGGCCTGCCTACTGGCTCGGGCACGCGCGGGCTCGCAACCCCGGCCCGAGGGCGCGCGCACGGAGACCTCCTGCTCGCGTGGCTGAGGCCCACAGTGCGCACGCGCGGGATAACGATGTTGGCCGTGTTTCCAGTTGGGTGTTATCTGTTTTTCGGAGAGCCCGTAAAATCCTTTCGAAGTCGAGCTAATCCTTTTGCAGCGTGCTTAACTAACTCCGTTTTACTGGCGTTTGTGAGGAATTTCAGATAATTTTTTGCGTTCACGGAAGGGGAAGGCGGGCAATTTGGCCCATCGTGTCTACGCCGTCTCTATCACCTCGTGCTCAGACCAACACAGTGTGGAGCTGGAGGACCATGGCAGGCCAGGCAGCATCAGAGGAGCAGGAACGTTCACGTTTCAGATCGGGACCCTTCTTCAGAAAAAAAAAATGCTAATCCTTTTCTGCCTGTCCCTGCACATAATTTTCATCCAATGCCCTCTTGAAGTTCTCAAATGAACTGCTTTCATCACATTTACAGGCAGTGCACTTCATAACCTAATTACGAGCTGTGTGAAAAAGTATTTTTTTTCCCACATCATTCTTGCTACATTTGCACATCACCTTAAATCTATGACCTCCCATTCTTGTTTCTTCTACGAGCAGAGATAGCTTCCCTATTTACTCTGTCCAGCCCACTCATGATGTCAAAAGCCTCAATCGCATCTCCTGTCAGCCTGCTCATGAGACAGAAAAGTCCCAACCTCTTTGATATTGTAGCTGAAGCTTTTTATACCAGGAACCATTCCAGTAAATTGCTTTAGCATATCAAAGTATTTGCATTTTCCCTATAATGTTGAGGAACCAACTGGACACAGTGCTCCAGTTGAGGTCTAACACGTACGTTGTACAAGTTCAATAACACTTTCCTACTGTAATATTCTATCCCCCTATTAATAAAGTTGAGAATGCTGTATGCTTTATTTACCCATTCTCTACCTATACTGCTACCTTCAGTTGATCTGTGCACATACACACTCAGGCCCTTCTGCTCCTGTACCCCTTTAAGGATTGTATTCCCTATTTTACATCCTCTTTCGGTGTTTTTCTGACCAAAATGCACCACTTCACGCTTCTCTGCATTGAACCTCATCCTTCACCTGTCTGCCCACTCCATCAACTTGTCAATGACCTTTTGGAATTCCACACTGTTTTTCTCACAATTTACAATTCTCCCAAATTTAATGGCATCTGCAAACTTGGAAATTGTCCCCTGTGCACCGAGATCCAGATTATAAATATATATCAGGAAAAGCAAAGGTCCCAATATCAAACCATGGAGAATTCCACTGTAAACCTGCTACCAGTCTGAAAATTATTCTTCATGGACCATTATTGAAATATTGGACTGGACAAAAATGAACACATCCTTTCTTTAAATAATGCCAAGGCTTTTTTATATTCATCTCAGAGGGCAAATAGAACCTCATTGCACTATACATCCAGCAATGCAGCACTCCCTTGATAATGTCAGCCTAGATCACAATGTATAATAGCCAAAATGGGATTTAAACCCACAATTTTACAAGTATCTGAGTCATGATTGCAACCTTCTGTACCACAGAAAATACCAAGTAGAAGTGCTTTGTTTTCACAGTCTTTTCTCAAATCCTTGACCCAGAAGATCAGTTGCGTCCAGCGCTGGAATATCTTCACAAAAGGAATTTTTTGCAGAGCTATGGGAAAAGTGAAGGGGAGCCTTCAAAGGATCACAGTCAAAGTAGGTTTGAGAGCTTTGATTCTATAATGTCACTTTTGTTTCTAAGTGGTCTTAGCCAGATTTAGCCACAATATTCTGACCAGAGCTTGCTGCAATGATACATAAACAAAATACCTAACGTTGAAAATCTGAAGTTAAAAAAATGGAAGCATTGGAAAATTTCCAGCAGATTTGGAAACATCTGTGGACAGAGAAACAGAGTTATCTCAACTCAATATTTCATTGAAACTGGAAAACGTTAGGTCAGAGGTTTTAAAAATGTATAGAGACAGACAAATGATAGAATCAGAGCAGTTCTGTCATAGGGTGGAGGATGAGAGATCAAAAGACAATAAGGATGATGGTGTAAGTCAAAAGGGACGATAATGGAACAAATAAAGAAGACAAGGATGTGTCTGGAAGAGATGCAACTGGAAAAGCAGAATCATTAAGTTGGAGGATTGTTCAAATGTTTGAAGAGGCTGGGTTATTAAGTACAGTCAAGGTCGAGATAGACAGGTAATTAATCAGTAAGAGAATCAAGGTTTATGGGGATAAAACAGGAGAATGGAGTTGAGGATGATCAGATCAGCCATCATCTCATTGAATGGCAGAACAGACTCAATGGGCCAAATGGTCTCTTTCTGCTCCTATGTTTTGTAGTCTAAGTGCCATCCAAAAATTTTTTAAAAAGCCAGAGGAGAAATTATGATGGGAAACTGTTGAATTTAACTTTGAATCTAGAGATTGTAAAGTGCCTGCTGGAAAGATTATGTTCTATTCCTCACATTTATGTTGAACTTCATAGATCATAGAATCCCTATAGTGCGGAAACAGGCCATTTGGCCCAACAAGTCCACACTGACCCTCCAAGCATCCCACCCAGACCAATTCCCCTGTAACCCACCTAATCTACACATCCCTGAACACTATGGGCAATTTAGCATGACCAATCTACCGAGCCTGCACATCTTTGGACTGTGGGAGGAAACCCATGCAGACACGGGGAGAATGCGCAAACTCCTCACAATCGCCCGAGGGTGGAATCAAACTCAGGTTCCTGGTGCCGTGAGGCAGCATTGCTAACCACTGAGCCACTGTGCTGCCAAACTTAATCAAAAAGGTATTGGAGGTAAAGAAAAAGAGCTCAGAGAGGGACTAAAGTCGAGATTTAAAAAGACATGCTTGAGAGTTGCCCGTGAAAAGTAAATGGAGCTAACCCCAATGTAGGAGAGACTGCTTTGGGAGGAGCAAAGGTTCCTACAGTGTTACTCTGCTTTCCACAGATTCTGCCAGACCTGTTTGAAACACTAATTCTGAATAATGTGGATAATTACAACACCTTACAAGCTATTTGGCCTGACCAGATCTTGCTGCTTGTCTGTGCAGCATGTGTATTGTAGTTGGTTTCTTCGAAGCACGAGGCGGCGCCGATACAGTCATCAATGTAATGGAGGAAGAGGTGGGGTTTAGGGCCAGGGTAGGTACGGAAGAGGGATTGTACCATGTAACCTACAAAGAGGCAGGCATAGCTTGGGCCCATGCGGGTACCCATGGCCACCCCCTTTCACAGTAGGAAGTGGGAGGAATTGAAAGAGAAGTTGTTGAGGGTGAGGATGAGTTTGGCTAAGCAGATGAGGGTGTCAGTGGAGGGGGACTGGTCGGGCCTGCGGGACAGGAAGAAGCAGAGGGCCTTTAGGCCATCTGTATGGGGAATGCAGGTGTATAGGGACTGGACGTCCATGGTAAAGATGAGGTGTTGGGGATCGGGGAATTGGAAGTTCTGGAGGAGGTGGAGGGCATGGGTGGTGTCACGGACGTAGGTGGGGAGTTCCTGGACCAAGGGGGAGAAAATGGAATCCAGATAGGTGGAGATAAGTTCGGTGGGCAAGAGCAGGCGGAGACAATGAGTCGACCAGGGCCGTCAGGTTTGTGGATTCTGGGAAGGAGATAGAAGCGGGTAGTGCAGGGTTGGGGAATGATGAGATTGGAGGCTGTGGGTGGGAGGTCACCTGAAGTGATGAGTTTGCGGATGGTTTGGGAGAGGATGGTTTGGTGGTCGGGGATCCCTCTTCCGTACCTACACTGGCCTTAACCCCACCTCTTCCTCCGTTACATTGATGACTGTATCGGCGCTGCCTCGTGCTCCCACGAGGAGCTCAAACAGTTCATCCACTTCACCAACACCTTCCACCTCAACCTTAAGTTTACCTGGACCATCTCTAATACCTCTCTCTCCTTCCTGGACCTCTGTCTCCATCTCCGGCAACCACCTAGAAACCAATATCCATTTCAAGCCCACTGACTCCCACAGCTACCTAGAATACAACTCCTCCCACCCACCTTCCTGCAAAAATGCCATCCCCTATTCCCAATTCCTTCACCTCCGCCGCATCTGCTCCCAGGATGAGGCATTCCACTCCCGTACATCTCAGATGTCCTCATTTTTCAAGGCCCGCAACCCCCCCCCCCCCCCCACCTCAGTGATCGAGAACGCCCTCGACCGTGTCTCCTGCATTTCCCGCAACTCATCCCTCACACCTCCTACCCGCAATAACAACCAAAACAGAATCCCCCTCGTCCTCACGTATCACCTGCACATCTGCTAATGTGGTATACTGCATCCGCTGTTCCCGTTGTGGCCTCCTCTACATCGGGGAAACCAAGCGGAGGCTTGGAGACCGCTTTGCAGAACACCTACGCTCGGTTCGCAATAAACAACTGCACCTCCCAGTCGCGAACCATTTCAACTCCCCCTCCCATTCCGCAGATGACATGTCCATCCTGGGCCTCCTGCAGTGCCACAACGATGCTACCCGAAGGTTGCAGGAACAGCAACTCATATTCCGCTTGGGAACCCTGCAGCCCAATGGTATCAATGTGGACTTCACAAGCTTCAAAATCTCCCCTCCCCCTACCGCATCCCAAAACCAGCCCAGCTCGTCCCCGCCTCCCTAACCTGTCCTTCCTCCCACCTATCCCCTCCTCCCACCTCAAGCCCCACCCCCATTTCCTACCTACTAACCTCATCCCGCCCCCTTGACCTGTCCGTCCTCCCTGGACTGACCTATCTCCTCCCTACCTCCCCACCTACACTCACCTTTACTGACTCCATCCCTGCCTCTTTGACCTGTCTGTCTCCTGTCCACCTATCTTCTCCTCTATCCATCTTCTGTCTGCCTCCTCCTTTCTCCCTATTTATTTCAGAACCCCCTTCCCCTCCCCCATTTCTGAAGAAGGGTCTAGGCCCGAAACGTCAGCCTTCCTGCTCCTCTGATGCTGCTTGGCCTGCTGTGTTCATCCAGCTCTTGTTATCTCAGATTCTCCAGCATCTGCAGTTCCTACTATCTCTGAAACTATATTCTGCATTCTGTTTTATTACCCTGATGTACTTATGTATGATTTGCCTGAATATGGTAGCATCAAAACAATACTTTTCACTGTATCTCAGTATATGTGACAATAATAAATCAAATCAAATTCCACGCAAGGATTTATTAGTATGCATACTGCAAATTTTGGTTTTAACTAATGGAGCAGATATCATCTGATGCCAAGTTGCACTGACTGAGAAAGGGGCTGTTACTGTTGCTTCCAGTCCAAAGAACCAAACCCCAATAAATGGGAGAGAAAGAGAAGCACAAGCAGAGTCACTTCAAGAAAGAGTAAAAGAGAGCCAGGTTGATTGTAAAGAGAGACAAAGGTCATAGAAGCACATAGAAACAAAGTAAGACAGATAAACAGGAAAAACAGACAGACAGTTAAAGGCTGAAAAAAGTCAAACAAAAAAATAGATTAGTGTAGGAAGAAACAGTCAGAGACACGGAGAGAGATGGAAATGTGGCAAAAAGTGAATGCCAAGAGGTAGCTGGAAGCTAATAGATAGGGCAATAAATAGAAGAGCAGATAAAAAGTATCTAAAGGCAGATGGACAGACAGGTTGTTGGAAAGGAACTCAAGAAGACAGCTGCTGTCCTGTTAGTGCTAATGCAAGGTCCAATATGTTGCCATCCTTCTAACGTTCTATCATGTACACAAACTAAGGAGCTGTAAGTAACTCCATAGAAACTAAAATAAAATAATGGAAGCTCAAAGGACTGGTGGCCAGGCTATCAGTAAAACTACTGATAATCAGCATTAGGCAAGAACCAGAACAATTATAAATCTGGTTTCAAAGTGGCAAACTTCAAAAGGAATAATAGGTACACTAATCATATTATATTGCTCATTAACTCTGCTGAGATGAAGTAGAACATTTAAAGTAATGATGCTGAGTTTGCAGAAACAATGTGAAAAATATAGTCACTAAAATCAAGGAACCGAACAAATAAAATAATAATACACATGATTTATTAGAAGGATCCCAAAGCATTTTAAGGTACAATGTATTGCATTTATATAATCACAAGTTCATTACAGATGGGGAAAGTCATCTGGCTCATCTTATCAGCAGGATCTTGTGATCCTTCCCAGCAATGCAGCATCCAATTTTGACTTGAATAATTCCGGGAATTATGCCTCTAATACTGTATTCCTCAGCTTTGGTTGAGGTCTGGGACTGCAACATTGGCAAATAAATGAGCCATTTCATCATTCCTGTGCCAAAGAAAATAAGTAAACTAAAGACAAAAGGGTAGAAAGAGAGGAAGTCAAGAGGAGAAGTGAAAGAAATAATTACTTACATTTACAAAATGACTTTTACGACCTTGAGACATCACAAAACACTTTAAAGTGAATTAAGTACTGTTTAAAAGCATAGTCATTGTTGTAATGTAGGAAACATGGTAGTCAATTTGCTCAGCTAAGGTCATAGCAATGTGATAATCCCCCGAATATCTGTTTCAGTGATGGTGATTGAAAGAAAAAATAAATTAAGTATATTTCAAGTGCACTGTTTTGTTGAAAGGTATATCTTGATAACAATTTGGTTAAGACTTGGGGAAAAGAAAGTAATAACGATAGGTGTAATGTCCTGCTTGGTACCAGTTGGCATTACTCTAGAGAGGTCAGCATTTAGGCCC